AGTCCTGCGGGAGACCTTCCTCAACCACTACATCCCCTTCGATGCCGCTGTGGACTTTCATCGCTGGGTTGCCATGGTAGCCCTCATCTTCTCAGGTAGGTGGGCTGCTGGAGTATGTGCCACCCAGGAGCCACATCTGGAGCAGGAGGACCGTGACACAGCAGGACCAGGCAGAAGCTTGAAGAGCCGTATGGAGCCTGCAGAGACAGAGATGCTTTGCACTAGAGGAGGAACTGGCGGGTCCCTGGGCACATCCGCAGGGTCTGCCGCACCTCCATCCACAGCAACAGTGATGCTTTTCTCTTCTGGTTTCTGTCTCTCACAGTGCTCCACACTGCAGGTCACATAGTGAATGTCTACATCTTCTCAGTCACACCTCTCAGTGTGTTGTCCTGCCTCTTTTCCAACGTCTTTATGGATGATGGGTAGGTGAAAATTAAAGCGCAGTCCAGGCAGAGTGTATTGGGCATGGACACAAATGAAAGTGGGAACCAGGAGCTTGCTCTGGCCACTTCATGGTGCAATTCCTCTCCAGGTCTCAGCTCCCACAGAAGTATTACTGGTGGTTCTTCCAGACTATTCCAGGTGGGACCACTGCAGGCACACCTGCATGTCCATGTCCATATCCAATCCCTCTGCTGAGCCCTGGAGGATCCCCTGTGGGGTTACCCTGATCCCCCAGGACCTTCCAACCCATCCACTCACAGGCATGACAGGAGTGCTGCTGCTCGTGATCCTGGCTGTGATCTACGTGTTCGCCAGCCACCACTTCCGACGCGTCAGCTTCCAAGGCTTCTGGATCACCCACCACCTCTACATGCTGCTCTACGTCCTGGTAACGCATTTTGGCTTGGAGGCAGGGATGGCGGTGATGCACCACAAGCCTGTGGGTCAGCCCAGCTGATGAGATCTAATAGCTGGGGGGTCCCAAGAGAGCTGGCAGCCCAAATCCCAGCTCCCTGCCACTGCTGAACTGCCACCAAATCAACCCCTGGGCAATGGCTTGCCATGGTAAGTACAGTGATGATGGGGGCTGCTCCCTGCACAGGTCATCATTCATGGCAGCTACGCACTGATCCAGCAGCCCCGCTTCCACATCTACTTCATCATCCCAGCTCTTATCTATAGTGCAGACAAGCTGCTCAGCCTGAGCAGGAAGAAGGTGGAGATCAGCGTGGTGAAAGCCGAGCTCCTGCCCTCAGGTACCACAACATCCCTGGCCACATGGCACCAGCTCAGCCCAGGCTCCTTGCACAAGCACTGGGGGCTGCAGCAATGCAGGAAATTCCACTACTCAGTCATAGAATCACAGAATCACAGAATGGTTTGGGTTGGAACAGACTTTAAAGTTCATCAAGTTCCAGCCCCCTGCCCCGGGTTTCAGTTTGAACCCATCACCCCTTGTCCTGTCACTACAGTCCCTCTCCAGCATCCTCGTAGGCCCCTTAGATACTGTAATGCTGCTTTGAGATCTCCGCCTTAAAGAAGTCCTCACCCCTGGCCCCTCTCTGCCTGACAGGTGTCACCCACCTCCAGTTCCAGCGGCCACAGGACTTTGACTACAAGTCAGGGCAGTGGGTGCGCATCGCCTGTGTGGCCCTGGGCACCTCCGAGTACCACCCCTTCACCCTGACCTCAGCACCACACGAGGACACACTGAGCCTGCACATCCGGGCCGTGGGGCCCTGGACCACCCGCCTGCGGGAGCTCTACTCCCCAGAGAGCCTGGCCCTTATTGGCAAGCTGCCCAAGGTGAGCCCCACACTTCTTCTCCAGCAACATCTGGACCCCAAAGCATCTGTGGCAATGGGCTGTGCCCAGCCTGTGGTGCTTCTCCAGCCAAGGCCTGGGCAAGCAGAAGCAGGAGATACTCTACTGATGGCTGGTTCCCTTCCAGCTCTATCTGGATGGGCCCTTCGGGGAGGGCCACCAGGAGTGGAACAAGTTCAAGGTGTCAGTGCTGGTGGGAGGAGGCATCGGGGTGACACCTTTTGCATCCATCCTCAAGGACCTGGTCTTCAAGTCATCCATAAGCTCCAAGCTGCAGTGCAAGAAGGTAAAAGGAAGCATCTGAAGCACAATAAGCCCTCCCAAGATGCCTCCTCCTGCTGCTGGCTTCTGTGGGATCCTCCATGATCCATCTGGGGAGGAGCCCCATGTGGGCATGCACAGGGTACTGCCCTCACTCTGAACCTCATCCCCACGTGCCACAGATCTACTTCATCTGGGTGACGCGCACGCAGCGGCAGTTCGAGTGGCTGGCGGACATCATCCGTGAGGTGGAGGAGGCGGACAGGAACAGCCTGGTCTCCGTGCACATCTACATCACACAGCTGGCTGAGAAGTTCGACCTGCGCACCACCATGCTGGTGAGCCCAGCCACCTGCCGGGGAGGCGGCGGGCCATGCCGGGCCATGCTGGGCCCTCTGAAGTGCTCTGATCTTTCTTCCAGTATATCTGCGAGCGGCACTTCCAGAAGGTGCTGAACAAGAGCCTGTTCACAGGGCTTCATGCCATCACCCACTTTGGACGCCCTCCCTTTGTACCCTTCTTCAGCTCGCTGCAGGAGGTGCACCGTGAGGTCAGTGCCCGGGTGGGGACAGGAGGAGGGCACCCACCAGCCATTGTGAAGGAGTGGTCCCAGCCTGCCTCCGAGGCCCTGGAGACCTTGGTGGCCTCTGCACCAAGGACAGGGCAGAAGGGGCATGAACCCCACTTTCCTTCTGGAGCCACAAGGAGCTGCATGAGTCAGAAATGCTCCATACCAGCCAAACACACCCTGCTATGGCAAGACCCTGGCCGCAACCACTGCCCAGAGCTGACAGAGACCCTGGGGGATCCCATCATTCCTCCCCAGCTCCAGCAGCTCCATGGGGAGGTGACAACCTCCCCAAAAGTCTCCACAGGCTGGGGCATGCTGCTTGGCCAGCATCTGTGCCCAAAGCTGCCAAACGGCAAGGGGCCAAGAGGGGCTCGGCTGGGGGAGAGATGGTGTTGATGGCTTGACCCCTTTGGCTCCCTCCTTTTGCAGGTGCAGAAGATCGGGGTTTTCAGCTGTGGCCCACCCGGGATGACAAAGAGTGTGGAAAAGGCTTGTAGGCAGCTGAACAAGAAGGACCAGACCTACTTTGCACATCACTATGAGAATTTCTGACTCTACCCAATGCTGTTTCACCCCTGGGCTGCAGCCCTCATTGTTCAACATCAGTGCCTGTGTGGCAATGCTTCGGGTGGTCATGGTCCTGGGCTCACACCACCACCCCCACAAGAAAGCCATTCATGGCTAAGAGCATGGGTGTTGAGACCAGCACATGGTACAGCAGTGAAACGTTGCCATCACAGCATCGCCCCACGCAGTCCTAGCGTGAACCCCTTAGCCCAGGGCATCCTGCTACTACCTACATACTCCTGCAGCCCCATGCCCAGGATCAGGCTGGCATGACCCAATCCAGAAAATCCAGTTTTCAAGTTTAAGGTCTGCCACCTTGATTCCACAAGAGGATAGACTTAGATTAGACATTAGGCAGAAGCTCTTCCCTGTGCGGGTGCTGAGGCGCTGGCACAGGGTGCCCAGAGAAGCTGTGGCTGCCCCATCCCTGGCAGTGTTCAAGGCCAGGTTGGACACAGAGGCTTGGAGCAAGCTGCTCTGGTGGAAGGTGTCCCTGCCTCTGGCAGGGGGTTGGAGCTGGATGAGTTTTAAGGCCCCTTCCAACCCAAACCAGGCTGGGATTCTATGAAGATGCAGCTTGTGCTCTGCTGGGTGGCTTGGGAAATGTCTCTGAACAGCTTTCGGGAACAGCTTGGTGCCTGCACAACCTGAATTCACAGCACTTTTCCCCAAGACCTGGGTTGTTTGCACATGTTGTGAGGAGCCAGCGAGCTCCCCACCACCCCTCTCCTTGAAACAGGCTCAGCTTTCCTATTGCATTTGCTTGTGCCCATTAGCACCCTGAGCCTTCCCTGGACTTGCAAAGGACCTTAGTAGTGTTCATGTCAGCTTCTTTCAGCAGTATCACCTTCCTTCTATCAATCAGGGATCTTTGTGCTTGTTTAACTGTCACCTGGCTTTGCATTGCTGGGCTGCTGCTCTTGCAGGCTCTATCTGAGCTTAAATAAAACTGATTGATTGAATTTTTAAAGCACCTTCTTGCTTCCTCTAGTTGGGTCTCAGTCACATGGAGACCTGCAGTGCCTGAGCTGTAGTACTGGCCTTGCTCCTGTTACAGAGTATTGATGCAGCCTACTGGATAATGAACACGAGCAAGTTTCCCCCTGCACTGGTGGTGCACATGGTGTGAAGCACAGGCAAAACTCCACAGGCTGTGTCCTACCAGACCCATCACTCCCAGCAATGCTCCCAAGGCCTGTCATGGGAGCAAATTGTAGTCAACGAACCCAAATAATACCTCCAGCCCTTGGGATATTAAACAGTTCCCAAAGACCACACGGAATAGGTCTCAATCTCCCAGCAATAACAGGATCTTGCCGTGGGCAGTGCTCCCCCAGCCATGCCAGTGGGACTGCCCAAGAGGCACTGGCTCACTCCCACTGCTACGCACTGGGCAGCTTCCCTTCTACAGCCACCACACACCCTACAGCAAGGTGCATTTCAACAGCTCTTGGGTGGGTTCTGCTCCCACAAGCGACTGCAGGGCCAGGCTCATGGGTAGGTTTTACCCACTCAGGCCATCACATTAACAAAGCAGCTTACTCAGAGCAGTACTCGGACCACTTCCCCTTCTGGCTATGGACAGTTTCCCTGAGCTATGGCTTATCCCTGTAAAACACAGCGTGGATTTGCAGGCTTTTACTTCTGCCAAGATTAACTTAGCCACAGGAAGTATGAGCTTTGATTTATAAGTGGTTGTTGAAGGTTTCTTGGTCCTGCCAGCACTGAAATCGCCTGCAGCCCCGTGAGACCCAGCAGAGCAACAGCCCAGGAGTTCGCACAATCCCCAGGGCCCAAAGTCACAGACCCCTTCAAACCTCCAATTCAAGGCTCTAATGAACACAAGACACATTTATTGAGGAAAGTTCAGTACCGGCCCGATGAAAGGACTGATCTCTCAGTACTAAAATTAACACAATATAATCAAAGATTAGATTTCTGTTATATGCAACCTGCTACCTTGGCAGTACCTCGTGCATGGCTCAAACTCAGCAGGAAGGCCAGATATCCCAGAGAAGTTACCATCACCATTCATTCACAGTGGTAAAACCTTTGAGTGATGCTGTCCCCTTACTTCTCACCTGTGCTCCCCTCCATGCTAAAAGCCAAGCTGTGCCCCTTGGGATCCATGTAAGCACAGGCCACTCTGCGGTCCCAGCCACAGACAGGGCAGTTTCTCTGCCCTGAGGTGGTCCTTTTGCCCCACAGGGAGCTCTGCTGGGGGGATGACACTGCAGGTATGGTCACAGCTGGCCTCCAGGCTGGCTTCTTCAAAACAGCCCCAGGCTCTGAGCTTTGGGCCTGCAGTTTCCTATTTGCAAAGAGCACGGAGAGATTGACCTGAATGGGCAGATGCTTCCCATAGAGGGTGGGCTGGCCAGGCTTTGTTCCACAGGCTGTTACAGTCCCTGAGCATCCCCGAGGGAAGGTGTAACGGAAGGTGGAGTATTCACACACCCTGTGATTGCCAAGCAGGAAGAGCTGTGGCAAGCACAGCCCTAGGGCAGTGCTGGGGCAGGAAGGTGAAGAACCAGCACCTCTGTCCTTGCTTCACCCATGTGGCTGGTGACATCCTCCCCTGTTGTGTCTGCATGGACAAACCCTCGGGCTATGCAGAGACATCCAGGCTCTTCTGTGTGTGGGGGCTGCTGAAGAGCCAACCATGTGAACCACCATCTCTAACCAAACAGCACTGTTTTGATTCAAACTATTCCCTACTGGTTCTCTATGAGAGAGAGAACTGTTAATACTCTAACGGTGAATCCCTCAGCGCCATTCACCCTCATTATCATTTGATTTTGTAGCTCTATTACAAAGAAGTGCCTGCATAAGGTGACTGTGTAACCATGCAACAGCCATACATATGCCTCCTGTGGCCTCATCAGCGCATCTCAGGCAGGCGGTGACACAGGGAAAGGGCCGGGCACAGCAGCATCTCAGGGGTTCTGGTCACTGGGGTCACACTTCAGCATGACTTTGACCCCTTCCCCCCTCTTGGTTGTCTCAAATGCCTCAAGAGCCTTTTCCAGGGGGAAGCGGTGCGTAACTAAGGGCTTGACATTGATCCGCTTGGATGCGAGCAGGGCAATCGCCACAGGCCACCTGCAAGGAAGATGGAGAGCATAGAATGTAAACAGTTACCACCCTGAAGCCCCACATAAAAGGCATGGAGGAGTTTGGTTTCATTAGTCATTTCCTTAGCTCAGAAACCAAGGTGAGCTTTTCCTGAAACAATCTTCCAGAGGGGGAACCTCAAGCACCAGGCATGGGAGATGGAACAAGCCAACTCCTCTCACCTGGCCTTGCTGCTTGCAGACTGATCACTGTGGAGTTCAAACTCAGTGACTTGGTACAGGGAGAAGAAAAGCCTTAGTCAGCTTCCAACCTCTTCTCTGGCAGAGATGCACTCAATTTGATTGCCTGGCTGCTCCATGCGAATGGGCCAAATGAGAGTGGTGGAGATAGAAAGCAATGCAGCAGCTCACCTGATTTCCAAACTCCCTACACTTAAAGATATTTCTCATTTTAAGGAGGAGGTTGACTACATCTCATAAACCTTTCCTGGAGAACAACCTCTACAGACTAAGCAAAGACTCTTGCTCCACAAGAAATGACAGCTCTGAACAGAGCAGAAACCAGGCTGCAAACATGTAGTGCTGGATCTCAAGCCCTGCCCAAGGAATACAGTATCTAAGAGAGGACAGCTGAACTTCTGCCCTCAGGGTATACCCAAAGACCTTGTGCCTGTGCATGAGCTCTGAAGTTCAGCTCTCTGTAGAGAGCACAAACACCTTCAGACTAGCTGCAGATGTATCTTCAGCTCCAGCAAAATGATGAAAACCAAACACGGCTCTTGCTCATCCCGATGTTCACTGATCTCCAGTAAGACTGATGACGTGATTTCCTTCCATAATCAGCAAGGAGACCAGAGCTGGGCATCACCTGGCACTGGATGCAGCACCTGGGATTTTGACTCTGCCCAGAAAAAAGACTCCCCACACTCTCTGCCGCAAAATGCACAATATAATATTTAGGAAGGTGGATACCAGGAGGCAGCTCCAGGTGGGTCCAGGCCAGGTCAGGCTGCTGCTGAAGAGATCTCCCAGCACAAAGTGTTGAACCAGCTAAACTCTGGGTCTTCCTCCCTGCCATGCACTCTCATGGACAAGCTGGTCCCTTCCAAAACACCCTCAGCACCCGAACTTCCTTTTCTACAGGATGTAAGAGTTAAAGGCAGAAATCCAAGAAATAATGAAAGAAAGATTTGGGTTGGAAGGGACCTTAAGGATCACCAGTACCAATTTCCCTGCCATGGGCAGGGAAATTTCACTAGACCAGGTTGCTCAAGGCCCCGTCCAGCCTGGTCTCTTCCTTCCTTTGCACCAAATGCTACATGAAATGGGCCAGTAAGACAACCCAGCTGGGCTGCTTTTCTGTGGAAACGTTTTCAGTGCAGGGCTCATCCAGGAACCAAGGCATAAAATGCAGGACACATCAGTCACACTGCATTGCTGCACTGACCTTTCAGAGAGACATGAGGTTCAATCAAGTGTAAGGAAAACCAGCCTTTTCCACATCCTCCCTGCTTGTGTAAAGAAAGAATTTCTTAAGGACGGACTTGGAGACACATGAGCCCACCCTGCATGAGACTCACGTGTTACAATAGCGGAATATCCCCCGGATATCCACCTCCCGCACAGCAGCGTTCACAATGGGCACAGTGACCATCTCAGGCCCCAGTCCCACCAGCACCAAGGTCCCACCAGAACGAGTGGCCTGGAGAACAAACAAGTGTGTTATATTTTGCAGAACATCCTGAATAAATAACCCCCCACTTTGTGGCTGTAATGGACTGCCTGGGGCATGGCAGAGAAGCAGGGGAAAGGCAGGATGCTGTCAGGAGCCCATAAATATGAAACACACAGCACATTTTAAATAGCAATCTTTTAAAAACCTCAGAAGGATTTTGGTATCTAAATCTCATTCTGAAAAACTACTGGCATTTAGGAGTGTGAAAAGTACTTCTGGAATTCAATGGGAGGGATTCAAAACTAAAAGCCTGATGTTCCACTGGAATTTCTCTTTTTGCAGCTTGTCTCATTTGTCTCCTATCCTTTCACTGTGAAACCTTTGCCACACTCTCCCTTCAGGCAGTTCAGAACAGCAAAATTCCACCCTTAACTGCTTGACCTGCTGGAATTGTCTTAATTATTGTCTTTATTTGGACATATCTTCAACTTAATGGCAGATGCTGTCCTACTTGTACCAGCTCCCTGACACTGCTGTGTAGTCATACTTGGGGTTTGGGGTCTTACTGCAGTGTCTTTTTAAAGTGGTTAAGCACCTGAGCAACAAACCAGACATTTATCCCTGTGCTGCCTGCAAAGATGGTAACTCTTTATTCATCTCTCTTAGTTTGCTGTCTGACAAGCACCTTCTCTCCCCATATCAAGCCCACTTCAATTAAGCACTATGGGAGTGAGGTAACTGTCATTCACTGTGGCATCCCAAAAAAAGAAAAGCCAGTTCCATTACTGTTCTGCCTTGGGGACAAGTGGTACTCACATAAATGCCAGCCTGGATGCAGGCCTGCACTCCTGTGCACTCTACAGTTATCTCGGGCATGCAGCCAAGCAGACTTTCCACTTTGGAGGCCACCTCCTGTGGGGTCTCGTTCTTCACCTGAATGGTGAAATCTGCCCCCACCTCCTTGGCTTTTTGCAGGCGAGAGGCAGATAAATCTGGGGAAAGACAAAATAACTCAAGAACTGGAGCATGATGTGAAGCTGAAGGGGAGCAAGAATCTGCTTTCTTTACCCCATCTGACGTTTCAACAGAACCACCTTATTGGGTGACCAGCTGCCAACTCTCTCAGAATACAGCATTTGCCAGGGGTAGACCAAAGTAGAAAATTGCAGCCCACTTGTACCTTCTCAAGAATGTATGTAGGTGACCAAGACCAAAGGGCTTCCCACCCTTGATGCAGGTAGGCCACCATCAAGGGGCCCTGATGGAAGCACAGATGTATGGGCTCTGAGCATGATTCACAGGCCAGCACACAACCAGGAGAGGAAAGGGTCTACGTTCCCTCCCTGAGATTCACACAGCCTTTGGTGAGGAGGCAGGGAGGAGACCTGCCCAGAGAAGGATAAGCAATGAGGACAATTTAAAGACACAGGAGATGCCAAAGGCTTTCCAGCTGTAGAAGAGGGTACACTTCAAAGAGACTAAAGTATAAACTCACAGATTAAATCCACACCATGCAAAGCAATGTCTGAGTTAAGGAACAGCTGCCACCACTAGACTTGAGGGGTGTTTTCTAAGACAATCAGTTTGTAGATTTCCCAATTTCTCTTTGGAATACTGACAGTGTGCCAAGACAAACTAGAAGGCCAAGCTTAACTCCAAAGGGCATGCGCATTGATGCCACAAGCAAGAATCACAGCAGGAACAGCTGTAGCCAAGCACTGCTGTCCTGCTATCCCAACACTGCGGAGAAGAGGAACCTCAGTGGAGGCAAAAGCAAAAAGCAGCAGGAGGTCAGGACAGACAGGGCAGTGCTGAGCTACACTTACCCTGCCTGAACAGCGTGGATGTGTCTTACCAAAGCTGCAGCTGTCTAAGACTGCACCACCCAGTGTCTCTCTGACAATGACTCTCATGAAGCAGGTTCACTAATTCACACAGGACCTTCATCCACTGGTGAAAATGGACTGTACAAAACCATGTTACACACACACACAGTGAGTTAACCTAGGGAGAGCTTCCAGTGAGGAAAAAAAAACACCACTCACTTCTGCATTTTAGTTCCCTGGCTTTCAAGATTATTTCCTGCTGCTCACACCCTCAAGGATACCTCTCAAAGGGCTCTAGGCAGAGGCAAGGTTGCTCTGACCTTCCTCTCTGATGGCCCAAAATCACATGTCTATAGACAGCACAGCACTGACAGGAGAGCACAGGAGGCAGCACTGACTGCCTTTCTGACATGAGACATCAGGCTCAGAGGATCATGAATGTGGCTATTCCACTTCCAACAGTACTGGATGAGAACAGATCAGGAGCTCTCTGAGGGCTTCCTCAATGAACCATCTGCAGATGCTTTCAGCTGAGAGAACTGCAGAATGCATTAGTTATCAACACTAAGTGCGTCCCTGCTGTTACAAACCTCTCCTATCCCTTCACCCTTGTTCTAACAGCACTGGAGGCTGCTGAGCATCTCTCCACTAGTTTGCGTCACAGATGAATGAGCAGGCAAGCCCGAGAAAAAAGGGAGTGGATTTGGTAATACAGTGGATCTCAGATACCCCACTAACACAGAGCTACAAAGCTGCTGATGCTAAACTTCTGCAAGGGCATGGCTATACTCTGGTACTCTGTCCAGGGAGGTCTCAACAGCACTGTCATTATCTTTTGATTATACACAAAATGGTTTGTAAAATGGAGTGAGCTTCCCTGTTTGGCAGCCACACTATGTCTTCTCTTTCACATCCCCTGGAAGGAAGCCACCCATCCCTCTCCATGTCCTGGCTTCCAGGACATCTCTGGAGAGAAGGAGGTGGAGAGCAGAGGAGAATGGTATTTCCTATGCAGAAACAACCTCTTTGTCTTGCACTGAAGCAGTGGTCTGGAGGGGCCTGTGTGCTGGCACTGGAAAAAACACCTGGATCAACGGTGGAAACTAAGCTGTAACACCAAAAATTTCCTAGATCCAAAACTGAGGGATGAGCAATGCCTCCTGCCAGAGGCCTAGAGGCTTGAAGACTCAGAAAATAATGCTGTTACCAGGGGCATCCTCCTCTCCAGGGCACATAGTGCACCCACCCACCACAAAGAGGAAAACGCCCTTCTCACTAGGGCACAGTCTTCAGAAAAGTCAGAGATGGGTATGGTGTGAAAATATCAAGGGAAAAGAGAAGAAGGGCAAGGCTACTGCTCTGACATGAGCCACTGACTCAGCCCCAGTGCTGGAAGGAAGCCAGGCCCCAGGACCTACCCTGCCCATCACAATGCGAACCTGATGTTACTTAACCACCAGGGCAGGCAAAGGATATGCCCCACCTGCAGCAGGAGGGCTTGAGATGCTGGGTGTGGACACAGCCACCAAGATGAGCACCCAGCGACCTGTGGAGGGAGTTTCAAGAAGGGATAACGAACGGTAATAAAATGCAGACGAAAGAGAAATAGACAAGGCTGGAAAGTAAGGACAGCATCACTCTGGAAGCCTCAACACGGGCTCCCATTCCTGCAGCTGCAGGATGCGTAAGTCATGTCTGTCCCTCCCAAACTGAACATGGCCTCAGGCCATGTGTACAGTCATGCTTGATCCTCTGCTACCCAAGCTAGAGACCTTCTCCTCTTGCTGCTGGAGATCCTCCATGCAGCGTGAGCATGGACATGGGCATTTTTGAAGCATCTAAAGTACTAAGAAACACTCCTGCCTGGCACTGCTGGTGTCAACCAAATCTCAGTGTTCAGCAAGGAGACCATGGGGGCTCATCAGTGCTCCCAGCAATGGACCAAACTCCCCATGAAGTTTGGTCTCAAAACACAAGCTTGCAGCAGTCACAGCTGGATTCAGCCACTCAGAATATCTGCTCCATCAGTAATATATTTTATAATATCTCTTTGGCAGAAACACATCCAGAGGCACTGTCCTACAACAGGCCAGCCAGTGCATTTCAAAGTGGCTACAAAAGTCACTCTCAGGCAACAACCCCCCATTCCCCAAATTTCCTATAGTTCGCCTCTGGTTTGCTATCTGCTTGTGAAGGAAGTCCTCACATCAGAGACACAGGACACAGCAATACCATCTGACCTGTGCTAACACCTTGGTACACCTGGCCTAATTGAATAACCACTGAGCATCTACTGAAGCTGACACATGTGCAGGTTATCAAATGAGGTTTCTGCATTGTTTACAGCTGCAGACACTTGTGAGTCTCAAGAAGGACTAAGTTGTTCATATTTTAAACCTTACCGTGGCTGAACTCCAAAGAGCTCTTGGGAAACTGGTCACTTACACAGTTAAACTGTTGCATCTTGCCTCTAGGCAGAAATCTGCTTTCACCTCCTGGCTGCGGGAGCTAATGAAAGCTTTGGCTGCCAGGATAAGAGCAGCTTGTTCTTGTATCTCTGTTCCCACAGAGTTATCAAATTACACTTAAGCTTCTTGTGATGTTCTTAAACCAACTTAACAGGAAAATATCCTGACACTCTCTCACTTTTTGTGCTGATCTTCCTTCACAAAGGAGTTGAACTCTGATCAGTTATTCATCTTCCCTGACTTTGACTCCATGGCTTCTGAGGGCACCAGCATCCAGGACTTCAGATTTAGATAGCACAAGGGGAATTTTCATTTAAGCAGGAATTGCTAATTGTACCTTTAGTGACAGAGTAAGTCAAAACAGCCCAACACCTCCGTATGAATACCCAGTGTCACTTCACTTGCTGGGGAATAAGACTGCTCTTTTACATGCCTCTAAGGAAAAAAGCAGCTTTTCAGAGCAACAGCAGTGTACACAGCAAAGCAAGAAGGACAGGAGAAGGTGCCCCATAAAGATCAATCACACTCAACAGCAGAGCGGAGAAAGCCATAGACCTTAGGGAAGACTAGATGAGGACCCATGAAACAAACCGATCTTTTGCACCCAACTGCAGTCCATTAAATACATCAGCCTCCCCTGAGAAGGCAGAACACTAGACCGCCAGGAATAAAGCACTTCAGGGAGAAGAGCAAAGGTTATCAAAGCAGCAATAGCTTTTATCAGGAAAGCTGCTTTCTGGGAGGAAAAGCAAGGTTTGACACACATGGGACTTTGGAAGGGTAGGGCTGAGTATTAGTCTCTACCTATAGTGCCAGCTGGTCTAAGAGAGTCTAAGAGTCCCAGAGAAGGGAAGAAACCCCTTGGGAGATGCAACTGTCCAAAATTCATTGACTCCAGGTGTGCTACAGACACTCACTGCAGAAGCTACAGGAGGTCACGAAAAAGCTCTTCTAGATATTTCTCTATTTGTGTGTGGTTTGTCAAAACACACACAAACATCTGAAGCCTGAAGTGCTGCTCAAAGTTCTGCAAAGACAAATCTGCTCACAGACAAACATCTCATAAAAGCTCTGGGTGATGAATTCAAAGAATCAAAGTACAGCAGAGTACAAGAGAGCCTTTGTGGGCAGACAGTCACCTCACCTCATAGGTATTGGCTCCTAAAGCTGATGAAAAAAAGAGTTCCTTGAGAAGGGCAGCAAAATCCCCAGCAGCAACAAGCCAAACTAAACCCATTCCTCAGCTCATGTCACAAAGAAAGATCTGACTAGGGACTGCCTCTGAGCATCTCAACCCATCACTTCTGAGGTGGGAGAATTCTACAAGTCAGGACCATTACCTAGACCAAGGCGTAAAGATATGAAGGAGTTAATTCCATGTAGCCAAGCTTGCTGACCATACAAACCAGGCATCAAGAACTTCCTATGGCCACGTGGAGCCCTATGGCACATACTATATACACTTGCTTGCCAAAGGTCCCCAGGAGCCGTCTACAGGCAGAGGCAACAGCAGCCCCAGTGTTACAGGGGAGAATGCACCCAGACAGGACTGGAGATGGGTGGGCAGGCTGGCCCAGCTACTTCAGCCTCACCAGCCCCTGCTAGCTCACCAAGCACTTCCCCACCCAAAGACCAGGCCACCCACCAGCTCCGCTTGACAGCAAGGTTTCTTACACGTGACTCAAGAGGCAGAGCTGCTTTTCCTGCTATAGCAACCAACATCCTCAAACACTTCACAAAATCTGGACTGATCATGTTCACCAGGCACATGCCTGCAGGGTTGGGCCAGCAGAGCCAAAAGTGCCCTGCACTTGGCAGCAAGAGGATTTAGGGAGGAGAAGGCAACGATCTGCCTTAGGTTTTCACATGAGCTACTCCTGAAGGATGCTTATGCAAAGGCAAGAAGGTAGGACATGAATTTTGTCTCTCAACTGAAGCTGAACACAGTAATTGAGAGGGCAAAAATACTCTTGGCTCTAAGTGTGGGAGGTGGAGTAACAGCCTTCTGTAAGGTTCAGGTTGGGGCTTTGGCTCCAGAATGCTGTGGCAACCTGTGCTCACTGTCTAGTCATACCTGTAACTGCTCCTCCCAGCCATCAGCACTCAGAAAGATCCAAGAGTAGCAGCAGGAGCTGGAAACACCGCTTCCGGGACCTGTTCAAAACCCAGGTGGAAATTCCAAGCAGGGAACTTCCTGAGGTTACTCCCTCTCTCCTTTCTTCTGGGCAAGCTGTGCAGAAGAGCATAACTTTTGAGGAGATGGAAGCAACTGGGCTGCGTTAGCATGGCAAAGAGAAGGGGGGATCAAACAGCTGCCTGCAACAACCAGAAGGGCAGCTGCAAAGATGATGAAGACTCATTTCAGTTGTTGAAGCACCTGAGAATGACAAGTTTGTGAGTGGATCCCAGAAAAAACTTCTTCGTTAAGAGGTGGTACAATCCTGGAGCAGGTATCCAGAAAGGTGATCTCCATCCTCAGAGGTTTTCCGGATGCAGACAGACAAAAACATGGCTCAAGCAGCAGCTAGACTAGAAATCTCCAGGACACAGTTATTTAGGGAAGGCCCATTCCTGATATGCAGAAACCCTGAAAAGCCATTTCAGTCATTAAGGATCATCAGAGGAAAATGAACCCTTCAGCAGGACAGCAGAAAGAAGGGCAGCAAAGGAGGACTGGAGAGGCACAATGTGGTTGCACACAGAAAGGACTGTGCAAACACTGTGTCCGTTTTATCAACTAGCTCTACAAGAGAAAAAACCTGCTCAGAGCAAACCTCCAAGAATAGCTCCAAACAGGGTCTCAAATACGGTGTGTTGCCTGGCCTGCATACCTAGATGAAGACTAGAAGCAGATATAATTAATGTCTATAAGCACTACAAGGAAGACAAAACACAATCCTCAAGACTTAATCTATGAGCTAAAGGCAAAACACAAAGTTGAGGTCAGAAAAGCTCAAAATGGAAAAAAAAATCCAAAACCAAACCAGTTAGTGATCAGAGGCACTGGGAGCAAGCACAGCTTCTGTAACTGCTTTGTCATACACACAAGACACACTGCCTCTTCCCAAAAGACCTGCTCAGAGTTTGAAAAAGGTCTCTAGACTTGACTCAAGGACCACTCATTTTCCTCTGGTTTACTCTTCTGGAAGTACTGTAGCTACTCCACCAGCACAACCTGTCTGTGCTAGGAAGCAGAAGTTCCTACACTGGCCGGCTAACCTAGCAGAGAAGCACCAGCTGCAACCTGCATCTTCTTACAGAACTCAGCTAGTGCAAGATCAAAGACTTGCCCTGGGGAATGACGTGTTTATTAGGATGCCCTCCAAACAGGCATACACTACTACTCCATTCATGAACAGACTTTCCACTGTGCTTGGGCTGCCTTCCCTAGCAGTTACCTTGAAGGGATAATTTGGAACTAGTCAGCATTGTACCGTGGGAAACGGGCACACTCTTAAGGGTTAAAAGGACTTACCTGTAATTACCACAGCTGCTGCACCCATCATCTTAGCAACAAGCACATTTACAAGGCCAATTGGTCCTGGGTACAAAGGGGAGAAAAGAGAACATATACAACTGCCAGACAGCCCCAGCCATAGGCTCTGAAGTTGCCCAGAGCTCAGCATGTTCCTAGGCTAAAGGAGGCTCTGACTGTGTTTCAGAGCTGTTCACCTGGATCACAGTATCACCATGACTCCAGTGTACTGAGACCAGCTGCTGAGAGAGCAGCTACTGCTACACAAGGGAGTCTGAATGGAAAACCACTACCCACTCCTCTGCTCCCTCAAGCTGGTAGGCTCAGCACACCCAGACACTGCCTTTTGCATTTGGACTGCTCAAAATGCAGCACTGTAGCTCAGCATGGGTAAGACAGACTCATGGTCCCCTCAGCATCCCTGTAACTCTGCCATGAGGCATGCCTACAGCAGAGCCCAGAAGCACATCTTGCAGCCTGGCTGCTGCCTTCCATACCACAGCAGGCAGAGACCCCCAGATCTGAATACATTCACTGTACCAGAGCCAGACACGAAGACTTTGCTTCCCAGAGTGACTCCCGCTCTTTTGCAGGCATGAATTCCCACTGAAAGGGGCTCAATAAGGGCTCCTTCTTCAAAGGTGACATTATCTGGGAGCCTGCAAGAATCAGACACAAGCAACAGTCACTGAAGAGGTTTATGAGGGTGATGACTAAAGCCACAGAACTCAAAGACCAAACACTGCTCTAAATCATGGTGCCAAAATACATTCTTATGCCTGGTCTGAGAAATGCAGGGCTGGAACGCTTTCAAAGAAGTTATATTGCCTCTTTCCCTCCTCTGAAGCACCAAAGAATAACAGAATGGTTTGGGTTGGAAAGGACCTTAAGATCATCCAGTTCCAACCCCCGGCCATGGGCAGGGACACCTCACACTAGACCATGTTGCCCAAGGCTCATCCAACCTGGCCTTGAACACTGCCAGGGATAAAGCATTCACCACTTCTTTGGACAGCCTGTGCCAGCGCCTCACCACCCTCACAGTAAAGAGCTTCTTCCTTACATCTAACCTGAACTTACTCTGTTTTAGCTTCAACCCATTACCTCTTGTTCTATTGCTATTGTATCAAGTGCACCTAAACCAGTTTCCAGTGAAGTATGCCCAAGCACCAAAGGCAGAGACCCACAAACTTCCCTACATTGTCTCTCCAGAATGTGGTGAGTCAACCCAAAAATTCTTTTGCCACTCATTTGGAATAACCCCCACAGCTGCCTACCCTGAAGGCTGCCCTACGGCTGGGACCTACCAGTGAGCTCCCAAACCCCTTATCTGGGTCGAATCATTCAGCTCCACACTTTTAGAGAACATCTTACTGCAAATGCTGATGCCACATGAAGTAAAGGCAGCCAGATCCAGGTCTCTCATCATGCCCTGGATATCCTCCCCTGATGCACCAACTGTTTCAACCAGTGGACTTGGCCCAGCATAAACCCTCCTATCAGCAAGGAAAAGTGTGTACAGTGGGTATCAACTTTTGGACAGAAAAAGCATCGTAACACATTAAGTGATGGAAAAAAGCAGAGGGGATAAAACCTTTCTGAACTGTGGACAGAAATAAATCTCAGCCCCGCAACCCAGTCCTCCAGAAAGCCCCCGGCATGGGCTGTTACACTGTGAGAAAGGTCTTTCTGACAGCCCTGGGAAGCTCAAGGTCAGATCTCAGCCAGGCCAAAGTAACGGAAATGACAGCTGTGGGAAGTATCTGTAAGATAGCTCTATGTCCCTTATCTCCAGGAGGCATTATAGGACTGACTCCAGGAGTTCAGTTGTCTCAGTTTGGCATCACGTTTCCAACTACGGGGTCTGCCCTCCTCCATCAGTGGGGAGGGCAGCTTTGCAGCACGATCCCATATTACTCAGAGCATCCAACACAGTCTGTCCATCAGCAGAAGGACAGATAATATCTGCTTAAATATATGAGAGACCACTGAGCTCAGCCATCATCTCTTCTAGGCAAATCTATGCTGGCAGAGGCATTTCATGCCAGGGAATCTGCAATGCATCAGACAGGCCTGCACTGCTGACCTGAAACTGAGAGCACTAGAATCAGGCTTTGGATTTCAAAGCTTAAAATAAAAATAAATTAGCCAGCGTGGTATTTCCTCAAATTGGAGAAAAAAGACAACTACAAACCCACCACTGCTTCCCATGCAAAAACTAGTGATGTTGTCAGAAAATGTTAATAACAGGAAGGCAGTGACAGCAAGTCTGGACGAGTTGAGAAGTGAGTCCCACCCAGTCCAGCACGTCATCCCACTGCAGCTGCTCGGGATCTACTCTGAAAGAAGCTTCCTGCCAGAGGACTTTCATGAGAAAAGCATTCAAGTGCCTCTCCCAACAGATTGATCCTGAACACTTCCTCTGCAGACACCAGAGATGCTCCTGCTCATGGAAGCACCAGCTCCCCACGGACTGAGAAAGAACAAGCTCTGGCCTCAGGAGGCCACTACCCTAGATTGGTTTTAAATCCTTGTGTAAATGCACTTCTGTGGGTATAATGTTTCAGAGATTTAATCAGGTTTCTGGTTTATCTGCCAGAGTACATAAGGGCAGACTTGCTTTTAAGCAAATGTGTCATCCTGACACAGTTAAGTACATACTCAAGTTTGCTGAACTGGATATGAAAACAGATGTGTAATGCTGGCAGCTTAGTGGGGCCACTCAGCACCACACAAAAAACCACTTTAGCAGGGACACTGCTTCCTGTTCCTGTTCTGCTCTAGATAGGATGACTGTTCTAAATGACAGAGGAGGGCATCACCAGCCAATGCGGTGCTTCCTGAAAAGCAGCAGTAAAGCTAACTCAGCTCAAAAACCTTCAGGCACTGTTCTTAAAAGGCAAGGACACAGAAAGACAGCAGAAAAGAAACTAAGAGCAGGTAACAAATATGAGAAGGGAAATAATTAAAGTGTAAAACAATGGTGACACCCAGGAAATATGCAACACGTTTATGTCTATCACCAGAGGGAATAAACTACACCTGCCTGACAAACCCTTGCAAAGTGGCAGCCATCCAAGCCTTATACATGTTATTAACAGGTCAGAAAACAATTAAAACCTGTTGTGTGCAAGTAAAGAGTGCTCACTGCAATACTCAAAGGGGCCAAGAGATGATTGTTTCAGCTAATCTTTCTCAGGGAGTATTACTTCTCTGCAGAGGGAGCACCAACTAACTTGTAACAGTAGCTGGCATTGTGCTTGTAGTAACGGCACAGGTTCCCATTATCAGGAGGCGTCGCGCAGAAGAAGATGGCTGGGGACAGGTTGTAGCGGCCAGTTTTGCAGAACTCATCCATTTCCCTTGGGACACCAGGCTCGATGGCCACTCGATCACCTGCCAGGGTGAAAGCAGGCTGTGTTACTTAGGAAGAACGTGAGTGCATAGGTAGCACCAACCGACCACGTAAGACAGCATGAAACCTTGGCACAGAAGCAGCATGAGGGACATCTGCTGAGAAAGATCACGCTGCACACACCAGGCAAGTTCCTAACACTCCTTCACAGTGGCCTCATCCCCAAGATCTTCAAGTTACTTGAGCCAGTGTTTCAGAAGCACAGACACATACAAACCTCTCTCCAGCTGCCCTGCACTCAACCTTAGCAGATGAAAAGGCAGTCCCCACCCCAGGCAATCACATGGTGACCAGAGCTTTTTCAGAATCCGTAGTAATTGGAAGAGGAAATAATTGGGACAAAGTAGGGGATCTCTGCTGGCCACCACGGGGCCAGCTGGAAAGGGCTGCCCCTTCGGGAACAAAGCGTATGATGAAGAAGCAAATCCAGGAGTCATGAAGAACTTATTGGGGAACAGAGACATCATCATGGCCTGATGGAGTAACCTGGACTGCTGGAAGGACTCATGCTGCAGGACAAAGAGCAATTATATAATTGCAATCATGAGGCAGGATGGATTAAATAACAAGTGTGTGACTGCAGTACAACTTACCAGTATGCAAGGGACACAAGACAGTCCATTTTATTTGGCAGAGTAAGACAAAGGCAAATCTCTCAGCAAATCTCTTCACTAACAGGCTTTTAGTCAGAACAGGGACAAGCAGGAGGATGGACAGAAGTAAAGCCATCCAGCCCACTGCACCACCTCTGAAACAGCAAATGGGGGATGTCTCAGGGTGAGAGAAGCAGGACAAGCACGTTCTGAATGTTCTCCCAGCCTCTCACTATATTCACCTATGGGCCTCCTAAGCTGCATGTGGCTTCTTTGTAAGTAACCCTCAACATTTTCCTTCCTCCTTCCACCACGTAAACTTTAAGGATCCGTTGCCACGGCGGCCTGCACGTGAAGCTGCTGCATCTCAGTTAAATGCAGCATCTGGCTCCCACTGTCCCCTGCTATTGTATCAGAGGAATCAGAGAACAGGCAATCTTCCACAGAATCATAGAATCATGGAATACCAGGTTAGAAGGGACCTCAAGGATCATCTGGTCCAACCTTTCTTTGCAAAAACACAATCAAGACAAGATGGCCCAGTACCCTGGCCAGCTGAATCTTAAAAGTATCCAACACTGAGGAATCCACAACTTCCCCAGGGACATTATTACAATAGCTGATTGCTCTCATTCTGAAAATTTTTCCTCTGATGCCCAACTGGAATCTTTCCAGAATTAACTTGTGCCCATCACCTCTCATTTTTTATGTGGGACTCTTTGCAAAAAGGGAGTTTCTGTTGTCTTTGTAACCACCCTTAAATACAGGAACATGGTCATAAGGTCTTCCCTGAGCCGCCTTTTCTCCAGGCTGACCAAGCCCAGCTCTCTCAGCCTTTCCTCACACAGCATCCCAGGCCTTAGATCACCTTTGTGGCACTTCACTGGACCCTCTCCAGCCTGTCCATGTCTTTTTTGTGCAGTGGGGACCAAACTGACCTCACTATTCCAGGTGTGTCCTGACAAGCAGTGAGTAGAGTGGGACCATGACACCTTTATGAATAAGGTGATGCCTTTGTTGATGCTCCCCAACATCCTGTTGGTTTTCTTTGCTGCGGCTGCACACTGTTCACTCCTGTTGAGTTTGTGTCCCCCAGGACTTCCAGGTCCCTTTCCACAGAGCTGCTCCCAGCCTGGCAGATCTCAGCCTGTGCTGCACTCCTGGAGTGTGTTCTCAGGCACAAGCCCTGGCACTTGTCCTTGCCGAACTCCATGATGTTCTCATTAGCACATGCTTCCAATCCACCCAGGTCACCCTGCAGGGTGCCTCTCTCTGCCAAAGTGGCCACTTCCCACTCAGTTTGGGTACACTTGATCCCACCTTCCAGATCATCTATGAAGACACTGAACAGGGCTGGGCCCAATACTGATCCCTGAGGGACCCCACTGGTGACAGGTCCCCAGATGGAGGAGCTGTTCACCACCACCCTCTGGGTGCCCATCAGCCTGTTGCCCACCCACTGCACACACCACTTGTCTAGACTGTAACACATCAGTTTCTCTAGGAGAAGGCTGTAGGAAACTTTATGTGCCCTCTCCCTGCCCTCCATGAGCCTTCAGACCTGGCTCAGATGTCCTTGAGTTGTCCCTCCAGCTCCTAGGCTCAAGTTCCTTAGTCATTTGTCATAGAGACGCTGCTTCACATCTTATCACCTACGTGTCCTCCTCTGAAACTTTTTCACTTCTTTTATATCCCTTTGGAAAGCAGGAGACCTGCATGCAGAGCTTCAGATGTGCAATGATGTCCTCTGAGTCTCTACCCCTTTCCTAACATGGATTTGCATTTTTCACCATTACTGTGCCAACATTAGCATGCACTGTGTCACAGTCAAAGGTCTCACTCTTCAGCAGTGATGGTCAGCCCATTTTAGATATGAAGCTGGTTTTATTTATTCTGTCATGGACACAACTTTCTGTTTACCTGCATTGAATTTCACCTGCATCTTATTGCCCCAGCATCCGTAAGGTCTCTCTGTAACTCTTGCTAGCTCTCCCATGTCTTCTCCACCCTGCCTATGTTGCTGCCATCAGCAGACTTTGACAATTCACTGCTCAGCCCATTTTCTAAGATATTCACAAGCATGCTGAAGTGTAGAGGTCACACCTGGGGCCTGGTACAGTTGCTCCAGTGACCTCTCTCCACTGCAGGGGGCCATTTGTTCCTTCAAAAACATACACAGCAAAGAAACATTAACAGCAGGTTGCTGGCAAGAGCAACATATGTGCTTTTTGATGCTTTATCTAGCTTCTTCAAAAGGCACCTTCTACAGGCATTCATCCCACTCTGCATTAAACTGAGGTCAGACCCGCTCAAAATACCCCATGATAAAGTATAGCTAAGAATTCCATAAACTACAGTGGCAAAACTGCGTGATTAATTGCAGCACAGTGACAATCTTTGAAGGAGAAGGTCACACTGTGCAATTCACAGCTCAGAACATCAGATAAATGAATGTAACAGAAAAGCACAGCCTGTTATCAACACATTCTCCAGAACTGATCCACAGGAAAACAAATAAAAAGACAGTTTTGATTCCAATTACCTGGCTTGAGGTGAGTCACCCCTGATCCCACTTTGACCACAGTACCGGAAGCTTCATGCCCCAGCACCATGGGATCCTTCACAACAAAATCCCCAATTCGACCGTGCTGCCAGTAGTGAACGTCAGAGCCGCAGATCCCCACGGAATGCATCCGCAGCAGGACCTCTGAAGAAAGGGGAGAAAGGTCCCTTGTAGAAAAACCTCCCTCCTTGGCCACTGGGAGAGCAACAGGTGTGCTGTCCCTGTGCCCCACAAAGGCCAAGCCAGCACTGAAACATTTTATATATATATATATATAAAATATATATAGTATATATACTAGTACATGTATTTACTAGAATATATATACCTGAACTGCACGGGCACACCTTAGGATTCATAGGACCCCTGAAAACACAAAACTATACAAGGATTTACAAATCAGGAAAGCTTAAAATATGGTAAGGCCCCTGTCAAAAAAAGGTAATACAATCTAAGAGGGGCATGACTATTACTGGAGCAAAAATAAAAGACCAAGTCCATTTAAGTTTTTCTTCTCCCTAAGTTGATTTCAGCCCTGGAGAGTCAGTGAATCAAGCTTCTTACAAGCCCATATGCCTGGCCTATTACTACATAGTCCTCCAGTAAGGTCATCTGAAATGTCCCAAAAGCCACTTAATGTGAAATACATGAACTGATGAAACAGGAAGCAAAAAAAGCCAGATAAGAGGTGTATCTGTGACTGCTCCAGCTCTTCTTTTCAAGTGGAAATGCAGCGTTATCTTTTTCAGCCACGCATTCTTTTTTGGATTTATACTTTCTCAGTATTATTGTATCTCTATAATATCATGGAGTGACAAACGAGAGTAAGAAAAGAGAGATTAGTAAAGAAAGCAGACAGAAGCAGTCATCTCTAGACCTACCATTGGGACCTGGCTCCGGGATTGGATGGTTTTCCTATGGACAAAAAGGAAGAGAAAAATCATTCCACAAGAATCAAGAAAGGTGTAGGAATTACAGGAACACAATCTCACCTACATTGATATAGGTTATGTATCAATAACACAGATAAGTTTAGACTTCACTGCCTAGACTCCTTACACAAGCTGTGTGTCAGTGCAAAGAGTGCCCCTGGCAAACTTTAGAGAAGCCCAGGAGGGTCACACCCTGAGGGGCCACCAGTAAGGCCAGGGGAGCACTGACAACCACCTCCAGTGTCTCCAGCAGTACGAACATCCCAAGGAAAACTCACGCATCTGAGTGTAAGCCAGTTTAGAGTCCAGCAACAGATTGGATGGGGCCAGATCCACCCTCACAGCAGGGGTCAAGCTGCACTTGCTTCTAGTGAAAGTGCAGTTGTATCAAAGGAATTACCCATATGGACACCATTTGGCCTTTGGCACATGCCGCCTGACCTGTGCAGGAACTGTAAAAAATCAACTGCTTCCCTGATAATCATCCCCTAAACAAGCTGCTGCACATAGCCAAAGTCTGCATGTTCGTTAGAGCCCTCCTGCCAGAACTGTTTGTACAGAAAACTGCCTGTCAATGTTTGCTCATGTAAATCTTCCTTCCCCAGTTTGGCACTTCCCAAATGGGCAAACACAAACCTTCAGCAGCGCTGCAATGATTCTAGGAATATCCAAGGAATTACTGGAATATCCAAGAGCTCAGTCAGAAAAGCAGAATCAGACTGAAGCATCCATTGACAATAAAGGCCCCGTCTCCACGAGGGTACAGACATGACCTGTGCAGCTGCTCCCTTTGAACTCTCCTGCTGCTTCTCACTTGGGGTCTGACATCAAAAGCAGGAACGTGTCAGCCTCCAGTTGGGCTCACACTGTCCAAGGGGCTGTCTACCCAACCGCACCCACCCCTTGTCCCTCCGCTCCACGTCTCTCCTTCCCCCCACACGACCCAAGGAGGGGCTCGGGTGGCCCCTAGCCATGGGGCAGCCCCAAGCTTTGGGATTCCTGCACCCTGCCTGTTTGGTCAGTCCTCGGACACTGGTGCAGCCGCTGCCCTTCCCGCTCCCATCCCAGGGGCAGTTCAGCTCTGACCCGGCACCGCTCGGGAGAACCAGACACCCCTCATCCCTCAGCCCCAGCGGGCTCCCGGCCCCTGGGAGCTGCCCATCGGCCCGGCTTGCCCCGGCTCCCTCCCATCCCTGCCCGGGCCGCTCTGCCGGGCCGCCCCTCCGCCTTCCGGCCCTGCCGCCCGGCGCCCTCTGCCTGGGCCCCGCCGTGCCGAGCCAAACCGGACCGAACCGCGGCGGCCGCGGGCAGCCCGCTCCTCCGGCCCGTACCAGGCGCAGGTCCCCGGCTCGGTGCACCACCACGGCCAGGTTCTGCCCCGGCGCCGCCATGGCTCGGCTCGGCTCGGCTCCGCGCCCGGGTCCAAGGGCCAGCGCCGGGGCCTCCCACCGTTGGGCCGCCCCTCAGCCCCCGGCAGCCCTCTGCGCCCGGCTCGGCACCGCCCCCGCGGCACGGAGCGGGCAAGCGCGCGCCACAGCCGGCCCTCGGGTCACAGAGCGAGCTCCAGGCCTGGGGCCCGGAGGCGGCCCCGTGGGGCCAACGCCGCAGGGCAGCCAGGGCCCAGCAGGCCCCAGATTCCCCCCGGCACCTGCATAGCCTGGGGGCAGCTTCGCCTGGCATCCCGCTGGCTGCCCTCCCTGCACCCCGGCACGGCCGCGGCCGGCCTTGTGTTTCAGAGAGTAACGGGGTGGCTGCGGGCCCTGTACCCTCTCATGTCGTGCCCGCCCGTATGCATGCTGCTGCTGCTGTGCAAAGTGCAGCGGGTTGGCTGAAACCACCGCTGGTGTGTGCTGGCAGCGACCGGAGCTGTGCACTTCAGCTAAAGTTCAGGCAAACGTGGGCCTGTGGGCTTGCCTGGCCCCAGCTGGACACAGGAATGGGGCTATGTCAGCTGTGGAAATGCCTTACCAGGGTTAAAATAGATTTTGGTGATGCTGGGTTTCAGGGGTGAAAGGGTTTCCACCCAGACTTGCCAAAGATCTCAAGATTGTCCGCTCCAGTGTCCCCTGAGAGCATTCTGAAGCTGAAAACTTCACAAGCTTGGAAAACCAGAAAATGGACATGGTACGTCATGCAAAGTTGCCAGAACCAGCTGAAAATAGCCTGCACTTTTAATACTGTTTTTTCCTCCTGCTTGCATGAATGGGAGTATCTATGAATTTGCTTTTCTTGCAAAAATGTTTCACCTTCCAGGCAGGCGAGGGCATTTCTTTTCCCTCCATCAAGGTCATTGCCTGTACTGTGTACCTGAGTTGGACTGGGCATGAAATGAGTGGCTGTGAGCCAGCCCTGTGGTTACTCTGAGGACTGGAAGAAGCTTGCGTGTGAGCAGAGCTGTGTCAGAACACCGTACTCAGTATTGACATGGTAATACAATTCCTGCCACACACACTGCCTCAGTAGGTGAAACAAGAATATTTGCATATCTTCAGAATACTGAAAGATGGGGAACAGCCTCTCTTCCTGGATACACTCATATTCTCAAGGCACCCATTTGCACCTCTCCTTCTTAGGATGTATTTGCAAGCAGCCTCCAAACTTGACTTGCTGTGTGGATTGTCTGTGTTATCCTGTCCGCATCCCAGCATAGAAGGTGCTATGAAATCCCCCAGCTCTAGAGCAATGTGCAGCCTCTTTGGCTCCCTAAATCTGAAGAAGCGCTGGAGGCATGTACTGGGGGCTCCGCTGGGAACTTGGGGCTCTTGCTGTAATACACATCCTTTGGGATCTTACATGGGTTTTGCTCCCCAGGTACATTGCGGGGTGTTGAGGGTTCCCCTGGGAGCTGTCACAGGAGTCATCTTCAACTCCTGTATCACTAAGTCCTGTTCTCCTGATGGACTCTCTTCCCCAGTATTGCTAATTTTCAGATAAAGCCCTGAATAAGTGGAGTTGCCTAGGCTTATACATGTCTGAGGGTGCCTGGGAAGCTTGTGATTCCTATGCAGCCTTATCCCTCCTTTTTCTGAAGGGAAATTTCTGAGGCTCAGTGCTTGCCCTGCATGGTTTATGTCCTTTTGAAGCCACCTCCATTTCATGGGGCACAGTTGCAGACTGCTGTTGCAAAAGTAGAGCTGTATCCTTGCATGCTGTAGCACACACTCTTTGTGCATCAAACAGACCAGGCAGGGGTGTTGGGCAGGCAGAGAAGTGTGTGTTTCTATTGCCATGGGCTGTCTCACTGCAAAAGTGGCTTCTTTGCTGCTTTGTTCTGCTTTTGTGTACCAGTGAATGCTTTGAAGAACCTGGCCTCTGGCTGCTACTGTGCCTGGATGTTGCTGCCTTGACAGGGCAGGTTTAAAGTGCTTTGCTTCTGTTGTGTTCTCTCCCATGAGGAACCAATGGTGCTGAATCTTCTTCTCAAGGCACAGTGATGCCCTTGGCCAGCATGGCCCTGTGGCCAGACAGCCACTTCTCCTGCCCTACGGCCTGGTGGGGAGAGAGGAGGTACCTTGCCAGCATTTGGCCAGACAAGTGACTTTGTTGGAGCAGGAGAGTTGGTTCCTTTGGCTATTCTGCTCCTCTCCGCCATGACTGTCAGCACTGTCTTCAGCTTCCTCCCCTTCTCTTTTCCACTTTCCTTCTGAATCAGATCCACTTCACATTTTCCATCTGTTTTCTCTCCCAGTATTTGCTGCCTGGCAGCTAGCTCCAGCATGCAGACTGGGTCTGCCATGCTTCCAGATCACAAGAACTTTGCCAGTCATTACAAGTCCTCCGAGGTCTTGGTTTAAAAGAAGTTTTGAACTACTTGCCATGCTCCATTTCTCTTTGTTTGCCTTCAGCACTGCCTGGCAGTCTTTTGACTGGCAACCAAAGAACTCTGTATGCCAGACCTACTTAGGACTTTGCTGCATATGCATTCCTTTTTCACATATGCTTGTGGGCATCCAAGCTATACTAACCACAGAGGTCATTCACATTCCTTCAAGCACGCAATAGAGGTGCTATGAAGATCATGTCATAACCAGAAATTGGCTTTGTAAATCAATAATTATTGCCAGAAAAGTTTCACTTTTCATTAGCTTAACAAAAATACATGTTTGCCTTTTCTGTCAATGATCAGGATCATTGTTGCCTCTCTAGGTAAGCGGGTAGGTGCTCTGTTGACATGACTACAACTCAGTTCACTTATAGTAGTCAAAGTTGGCATGTATCTGCTTTTTTTGCAAGTTTTAAAATACTTCTTTGGACCGTCTCAGGTGAGGAGAGGGATGGCATGACCTCAGGGGACTCATCTCCTTGTCTTAAAGAGGAGCTCCCCCGAAACAAAGGGCAACACTGCAAGTCACACGCTGGCCAGTTCCCCATGGAGGATGAGGACAGTGTTTTGGACCCCAGATCCTTCAGCAGTCCCACCAGCCTCAGGTGTAGTGTTGACATGGGGGCCCTTTGTGGAACAAATATCTGCTGTAAGCATCAGATATAAGTGCAAGGCTCTGCCTGGTCCAAAATGTACCTAAAAGGCTGGATTCCCTGTACCCTGAGCCCAGTCTCTCCAGCTTCAGGAGTTCTCCATCTCCATGCACAGCTCAAGCAGGATTGGAGGCAGCTACTTCTTTTTCTCTCCCCTTATTTACCCTAAAAATGATTTCTGTGTTTGCCTAGGAGGTGCTGTTACCCTCAACAGGATCCCGCTGAAGGCCTTTCACATCCCACAATAGCAATTCTGTTTCTGACCAACAAGGTCAAATGTTTTCTCCCAGATTTATGCAGAGAACTGTCCAGACCTACCAGCACCATTGGAAGAAAACAGCACCAACAGTTAGAAAAATACAATAATAACTTCTTTATCCCAAAGAAAGGAGATGCCATAGCAGCACCTCAGCCATAAAGCCACCATCTTCTGACAACCTTATCTCATCTCTGAATCAAAGTGGGTATATTAGGGCTGCATAGGGTAGGTCATGGCCACCAGACCTAGATTCAGATTAAGCCTTCAAATGAAGTTCAGTAATCCTGTGGAATATCTCTAAGTGTGGGCAGTTTTGTTCTGAAATAATAACTGTGATGTATTTTTAAATCTTACTCCCTGCAGAGACAAGCCCTCAGATAATTTTATAGTGAGAGGATTTCTTCCAAAAACAAGAACCTCTGTTGCTGAATGTGCCAACAGGGATGATGAAGCTCAAAATAGCCACCAATGATCCTTATTTTAAATATTTACTTATACTCCAAAACCAGTTCCTTTGCTATTTTGGGTTTTGGAGTGCATGACCACAGAGCTTGCCCCTGCTCTTTGCCCTCTGAGCACTTCGCGAGATGTTCCACTGGGAAGACAGGACCAGAAGTCCAGTGGCTGGACAGGCCTTCAGAAACATGGAGCTTACAAACAGCCTCTTTGCCAAATGAGCTTTGTCCAGATGGCAGCAGCGGCCTTGGGACGTGTGTTGTGTCAGAGGGTGCTGGGGCATGTGTCCACCTATTTTTTTTGTGTGTGTCTTCCCCTGGAGGGAGAAAACTCACCCAGTTCCAACCCCTGCCACGGGCAGGGACACCTTCCACTAGAGCAGCTTGCTCCAAACCCTGTGTCCAACCTGGCCTTGAACACTGCCAGGGATGGGGCAGCCACAGCTTCTCTGGGCACCCTGTGCCAGCACCTCAGCACCCTCCCAGGGAAGAGCTTCTGCCTCAGAGCTCATCTCAGTCTCCCCTCTGGCAGGTTCAAGCCATTCCCCCTTGTCCTGTCCCTACAGGCCCTTGTCAAGAACCCCTCTCCAGGTTTCTTGTGGATCCCTTTTAAGTAATGGAAGCTGCTCTAAGGTCTCCGTGGAAATCAAGTAGTGATGCTGCTTCCCCTTCACTGCAGCATGCCTTTCTCTGTGTACCACCCTGAAGCCATCTGTCTGCATAAGCATGATTATCTTGCTTGTATCTGGCTTTTTTTCTGGGTTTTGGTGGTTTTGGGGTTTTTTTGATTGGTTTGTTGTTTGGCTTTTTTCCTGCTGCTTGCCACACACTGTTGACTCCAGAATGGTTTTCAGACCCAGCCACATGGTACTCAACTTCAACCCCAGAGAAATGGCTTGATCCAGACTCACCAGAGGAGTGACCACCCTATGTTTTGGACTTCTAGTATTTCTTCTTTTTTCTTTTTCTTTTTTTCTTTTTTTTTTTTTTTTGTAATAAAGGACCATGACTTTTGATGAAGGAAAGTCAGAGAAGCTGCATGGATGCTTTTCAGAGCTTTACCCAAGTTCATGATACAGCCATCTCTGAAAACATCATCAAGTCCTCATGGGCTGCTGGTTCCAGGGGAGCTGTTTCATACCTGGGGGGCTGACTGAAAGAGCAGAATGCTCCCTGTGAGTGAAGCAGAGAAATGGGACAAGAGAGCAGAAAATGAGAGCCAAGAGGTGCACATCGGTAGCTGGAGAACCTGCCGCAAGGAGGCCTGAAGGCAGAGAGGGGACCCTGGACTGTGGTATCATGG